AAACAAATATAGCATTAAAATGAACGCGTGAGAAATTGTGAAAGTTTTTTGCCCAAGGTCAATTGTGTATTTTAGGTCACCATTATCAAAATAATTTCCATAATAATAGTAAAAGTCTGCAAGAAAAATAACATTAATGTAAAAATCCAGATACCGTAGGAGCTATTAATATGAATTTTTCAAAACTCGTTTTTTCAGACACTCTCTTAACACACATCACAAGTAATCCATTAAATCAATGCTTAAAACGTAAACGTCTTTACCATTCAATGAGTGACTAAAAAACAACATTTAAAAATCTATTTGTTTTAAACACAACTTCACTATAAGAGTGTGTATTGTGTACACTATTGACAAGTGCCAGCAAAATGTCTGCCAACACCAATACCAGCACCAGTGAGCTTACGTGTGATGGCCAAACCAAAAGGATCGGGATCATAGGGGCGGGTATATCGGGTATAGCAGCTGTTAAGGCATGTCTCGAACGGGGTTTGGATAACATCGTGGTCTACGAGCGCACCGACAGCTCAGGAGGTTTGTGGCGATACAGGGATGAGGACAGAGAGGGAAATGCGATGATTATGAAGACTCTGGTGTGTAATACCAGTAAAGAGATGACCGCATTCTCCGACATACCTCCGCCTGACGATTATCCCAATTATATGCCCAATCACTACATGGTATGTATTGTTTTTGTTTTAATTTAGTTAGTTGTTATTTTTAATTGGTCATTAATTATTTTTGATACATGCAGTGATAATAATTGGGTAACTTTATTGTATTTAAAATATTTATTTATAATAATTTAATGTTGTATATATAATTTTTTATTAATTATTTTAGACATTAAATGATTGATTTGATAATAAGTATTATACAAAATGTACGAAATTTCATATTTCATTGTATTTTTGATTTGTTTGTATATTAATTATATGCATATTTATTGAAGATTTTTATATACTGTATTCATTTAATGCAAGTTAGTATTTAACGTAACGGTAAGTGTTATTAAAATTTAAATAATAATAAATACTATAATTAGTTGTTATTAAATTATAATAAGCAATTAATTACACTATTATTACTAAAAGTAAATTTTTAAGTAAAGTGTTTGTTTAAAAAATAATACAAATTATTTATTTTATTTATTTCATATTGTCGTTAAAATTATTAATTAATAGATGATTAATGTAATTATTGTAATGAACTAATTATAATTTAAAATATATTTGCACAGTAGCATAAATTGCAAGTAAAATAAACTAAATTAATTAACTAAAATAATCAAGCAATTATTATCAAAACAGGCATGTGAACAAATCTAATTAATTTTGAACAAAATGAACATTATACTTTTAAAACAAATAATTAAACAAAATCCCAATTACCTGTTTTAGGCCAAATACCTGGACACATGTGCTGAGCGCATAAACTTTAACACCCACACCAAATACCTGCACGAAGTGGTCACGTGCGAGCAAAACACCGACTATACAGATACCGGTCGGTGGCGGCTAACTGTCCGATGTCTGGCCACTGGCCGCCAGTTTGTCGACGTTTGCGACGGTGTTATGGTCTGCACCGGTCTTAACAATAGGCCAGTGATGCCTGAATTCAAGGATCAGAGTTTGTTTAAGGGAGAGATTATCCATTCGCGGGATTACCGAAAGCCCGGCCCCTATGAGGGTAAGCGGGTTGTGGTCGTCGGGATCGGTAATTCAGGGGGTGATGTGGCCGTCGAGTTGTCTACTGTTGCTGAAAAGGTATGATTTTTATTTAATTATACAAAATAATTATATTTATTAGATGTTATTGTTATTAATGTTTTTTGTTTGAGATTTGTTAATGCATAATTATTTATAATTAATGAATTTGTACGCTAATTAATTGCACAAAATAAACCATGTCCCACTATATACGTCAACCGTTGTGAAATAACAATTATGGATTTGTTTTATTCAATAAGTTGTTTAAAAAATATTATAATTATTAGATATTGTTTTTGAAGTTTTTTGTTTTTAATTAATAATTTATGCATAATTAATTTTATTTAATTAATCTATGCGTTAATTAATTGCGCAAAATGTACCACGTGCAATTAATTAAACGATACTCCAAACTTTGTGAAACTACAATTATGGGTTTGTTATATTCAATAAGTTTTAAATAAACTAATTACAGTTTATTGCTATTGAAAATATATAAATATATTTTAAAACAAATATAGCATTAAAATGAACGCGTGAGAAATTGTGAAAGTTTTTTGCCCAAGGTCAATTGTGTATTTTAGGTCACCATTATCAAAATAATTTCCATAATAATAGTAAAAGTCTGTCTATGAATAGTAATATCCCCTTAACTGTGGTCTAAATAAAAATATTTTTTATTTTTGCACAAAATAGTAAATAAAACAAAACTCATCTATTTATAAGTCAACAAACTTTTCAACTAAATACAAGTTAAAAGCATTTTACTCAAATAAATTTACATATAAATAAATTGGCATAACAAACAAAACTATAAAGTTATAATTAAATAAAAATAACAAGCCTTGAATAAATAAAATGATAAAACTTAAAACTTACAATGTAATAAATAAAACTCTCATAATTTATACCATATAAAACAGGTATACCTATCGACCCGTAGTGGCAGTTGGGTCTTACGCCGGGTAGGACTAAGTGGGCGGCCATTTGATGGCCAGTTTAATCGCCGATCGATGCAAACCTTGCTCAGTTTAACACCGTATCCAATACAGTGTTATTTTGGCGAGATGTACGTCAACACCAAGTTTAATCATAAACTATATGACCTAAAGCCAAAGCACCGGCTGTTTGCACAGCACCCGATGGTCAACGACGATCTGCCCAACCGAGTGCTCGCCGGCTATGTTTGTGTTAAGCCAAACATTGATAGGTTTACTGAGAATGGGGTTGTGTTTGAAGGTATTTACATATTTAGCAATATTATAAGTTTTAAGTTCATAAGTTATTAAACATTTAATAATTTTACATTTAATTAGTATTTATTTAGTATTTAAAACATTTAGTTAGTATTGTTTATTCTAATTAATTATTAATTACATTTACTCTACAATATGCAGATTTGCTGATTAAAAATAATTTCCATAAATATTAACATATAATATTTAGAAACTGTAATAATGTATTGTTGAATACAATGAGGGTATATAAACTTTTATCAATAATTAGTTTATAAGTATTTCCCAATCACTCGAAACGTTCCCTCTCTTTGGGAATTTCAATCAATAATACATTGATTTGCAAATTATATATACCCATGAATTCAGTACAATATCGTTAAAGATTAGGAAATATTTTTTATTTTGTTCTGCATAATAATTGTTTTCATTAATAATTCATCTATATAATTTTTTATAATTAATCTGTTTATTATAATAATAATAGACTTTTATTATCTTGTTTAAAATGATTTCAAATTTTATAGAATATAACTTTAATTTTTATAATTTGATATTTTTTATTTACATAAATAAATTACAAATTATTATATAATTTTGATTATTATGTAAAAATTAAATACATTATAATGAATACAATTTACAATTATATATTTATTTTATAACTGTTTGTTTATTTCTACATGCATAGTTTATTAGACACGTATTAGTTAATAATTTTACATTTAACCAGAATTAATTAACTTGTACAATATGTATTTAAAAACATTTATTTAGTATTGGTTATTAGGTTAATAAGTTATTGTAAATTAATTACATTTACATAGCAAAATACTGATTTACGAATTTATAATAATTTATAAAAATATTAACATAAAAAATAAAAAACTGTAAAAAATATTGTTGAATACAATGAGGGTATATAAACTTTTATCGATAATTAACTTATAAGTATTTCCCAATTACTCAAAACGTTCCCATTCTTTGGGAATTTCAATCAATATTACATTGATTTGCAAATTCCCTCAATTTATAACGAATTTGTTTTAAACCACTATGGTCAAGATTTAAATTGGGAAATATTTTTTATTTTGTGCTGCATAATAGTTGTTTTCATTAAAAATTCATACTTATAATTTGTGGGTAATTATAACTTTTATAATATTTAGAAACTGTAATAAAATATTGTTAAATACAATGTGTGTGTATAAACTTTTATCGATAATTGGTTTATAATTATTTCCTAATTGCATGCAAAACATACTATTATAATTAATTTAGGAAATATTTTTTATTTTGTGCATCATACTATTTTTCATTAATAATTATAACTTTTATTGCCACGAAATTGATTTAGGTATTTTATTGTAATTTTTATATAAAGCCTTTATAATTTTTTAATATAATCAATCTGTTAATTATAATAATAATAGACATTTATTACCTGGTTTGAAATAACTTTAAATTTTATAGTATACAACTTGAATTCTATATTATTTGTTATTTAAATATAAATAAATTCGACAATTATTACAAATTATTAAAAAATTATGATTATTAACTACATCATAATTTATACAATTTATTTTATGCTAACCTATTGTCATATATTAGTATTTTAAGGACAATATGATTATAAGGACAATTTATAATAATACACATAGTACAGAATATTATATTGCATAATTCTCAATCATACAAATTTATCGATATGGTTGATTTAAGCGCAATAAAAGCAGTAAACATACTAATTTATACAATTAACGTACACAACAATTTTAAACATTACAATTAACCAATTGCTTAATTATTAATTAAATCATGCATTAAACTAGGTGAAAGCGACGAGACCGCGTGCGACACCATAGTGATGGCCACGGGGTACGAACTAAACTACCCATTCCTATCGGCGGACACACTTTGCATCAGCAAATCGGACTTCAAACTGTACAAGCACGTTTTCTACCCCCACCACCGGCACCCGCACACACTGGCCATCATAGGGTGCGTACAGCCGGGCGGGTCTATACCGCCAATCGCCGAACTCCAGTGCCGGTGGTTCGCCCGCCTAATGGCCGACTCGGGCCACAAACTGCCCTCCGAGGCCAAAATGGTTAGGGATGTGCGCCGACGGCACCGTTGGGTTGAGCGCAGGTTTTTCAGCGCCAGCCGCCACTCCCTGGAAGAGGATTGGGTGCCATATATGGATCAGTTGGCCCGCGAGGTGGGCGTCAAACCCAGCTTGGTGAAATATTTTTTCACTGATCCCCGCCTGTGGTGGAACCTGTTTTTTGGCCCCTGTCTGCCCTACCAGTACAGGTTGAATGGTATGTAATGAGCATGATGGTTTTGTATAATGGTTGTTTTGTTATAAAGGACATTGTTTGAATAGGGTTGCGTGTTGTGTTTTTTGAACTGACACAATTTAATGCATTTATTGACTTTGGTGTTATTGTAATTGCATTAATTTGATAGGGTTAGCGTACTATTAGGGCATAGTTTGTATTGAACTAGCTGATAATTATAAATATGGCAAATTATCATGCATGTTGGTTTTGTTTTGAATGATTATAATAATTATTGCATTTAATGACAATAATCAATAACCAATTGGTAAAATACTGGGTAACTTATTTAGTGATAGATTGCGTGCTAGGTTGTTTGGTAGCAATATTGTAAGATACTACAAAGATGAATAAATATAATTATTTTGTGATGATTGAAAAAAACAAAGACGTCATAATTTATGACTCATAAAGGATATTAAATATAAAAATAAATTTTAATTTATTATTTAAAATAATTATACCTATAATTAACTTTCAATAATTTTTAGAAAAATATATTTCATAATAATTTTAATGTTTGTCTTTTTAGGCGAAAATTCTAACCATAAATACAGTCGCGAATTGATTTTGTCGGTCGACACCAGAATCCGGGCCCCACTTCGCACCCGACGCCCGAAATAGACTGTATTTTTATTTAAATAAATATTTAATTATTAATAATTATATTTTTATTTTTAATAATAATATATTTTGTCTTTTATTAATAATTTACTTTTTAATTAAAGTGTAAACTTTGTGTTTTGTTGTAAATTTGAATTCAATAATTGAATAAATTGTAATTTTATTAACATAGTAATTTATCTAGATCAATGTTTTCTAAACTTAATTGTTAAGGCCAAATAGAATATTATTTATTTTAGTAATTTAAATTATAATTGCCCACAATAAATCATTAACTTTATTGTACAACATTAAAATTAATGATAAAACCAAATGTTTAAATAATCTCTATGGTATCAACAAATTATCCAGAAATGTTTTGTCCCATAGATTTTTGATAGTATTATTACATAATAATGTATAAACAATTTTGGTAAATTGAAAAATATAGTTTAAAAATATCATTAACTGTCAATATTAAATATAAATGTAAATTTAATCATATTTATGTTTACTATGTTATTGAGAAGTTGAAAGCAAATGGATTAGCTCGTTTTGATAACCAGTTTTCAGCTTGTATTTCGCAAAATCATATTAAAATCTAATGATATAGAAATATTAATGTTGGTTAAAGACATAGTTTGATGATCAAGGTCAGGACATGCCATTAAAAATTTGCATTAGTATAAAAAATAAATTTGTTTTTCAAGATTTCATTGAATTAAATGATTGAATGTTTTGTCTATTTTATTTATTTCACATAAATAAGTAAAACAATATTTTTTTTAAAATATATACAGTGTACTAATAAGGTATAATAATTTGTTTAGCTTATTATTGAATACAATTTTCTCGGTTATAGTATAAGCATAAACTTGAAAGTGGATAGAAAATAATTGTTTAGTATAGATTTTAATTGCATTTTGCATTTCAATGTTAGTACAACCCCATTGTAATTATTAATACATTTTTAAACAATATAAGCTTATTTAATACGATCGTGGTCACCTGCCCGCAAAATGTACTAGCACAAACGGTAAGTTTTTAACCAACATAGATATTAAATATATTTTTGTTGTATTTAATATCCTACCTATAATCATCATGTTAATTTTATTAGATAATTTTTTATTTAATAATTATAATATAAAATTAGACTTGTGTGGGATGTATGAGAGAGCACTCATCAAATACTTATGTTATCTAAGTATATACACTCCTACGTATATTAACCTGATCATTTTTACTTAAATAAAATCATTGCATTTTCAGGTACTAATCAATTTGATGACACTTGATAAAACAAACATAAAAAATGTTGCACTAACAATATTGCACTATAAGGGTACTATATTTTTTGTACCTTAACACTAATATTACATGTACCTAATATTTTATTGCACCTATTGCATTTAATTTGCAAAAATAATATGTAATTTTAGATTATGAGTAAGTGTGAATTATTTGAGAAAGATGTTTATTTTTAGCTATTGTAGGCGTGAGTGATATTGAGAAGAGAGAGAGAGAGAGAGAGAGAGAGAGAGAGAGATTAGATAATAAATAATTTTTATTAAATCAGCCTGTTTATAACCAAAATGTATTTTACCGTTAAATATAATTATTTAATAGGAATCAAAATCTAATTAATCGACAAAATATAAGCAAAAAACAAACTAATTATTTACTAATATAAATATACGTGGTAAATACGATATTATAGTGTCTGTCAACAAGGTGTTTAATTATTTAGCACGGTAATTTTACCATTTTCAGACGCTTTATTTGAACAATTGACCAAAATTAAATATTATAAATACAATTTTATAGTGCAATATTGACACGAGGCAAGCTAATTGCATCTATATCAATTAAATTTTGACGCAAATTTAGAATTAATGACTAAATATAACATCTCAAACCATCTCATGCTTATTGTCATAATCAAACAATATTGGTAAAAAACAAGTTTTGTTTGTTTTCAGGAGTAGACTGTATTCAATGATTCAAACGAAAGGGAAACATACTTACAATTAATAACAAAATAATATAATAGACTGAATGGCAATGAATTGTGAAATCAAAAACACAATTCAATGCCCTTCGCTATAAAAGGGGCAAACATTTCAGTCATTGGCTCAAAACATAAGCAAAACTTTAATTGAATAGTTGAATATCCAGTGATTGAGTGAACACATTGTAATTCAGTGCTAAATTAAATTTTATGTTAATATAACAAACAAGTGATACAATATAGATAAAATATTATTTACTAAGTTAAAATTGAATTATTGAAAATATGAGTACCAATATATTAGTACCCAAAAAGATCGCGATCATAGGCGCGGGTAATTCAGGTATGGGTGCGTTCAACGCCTGTCGGGAACAGGGCTTTCATTGTGTGGTCTACGAGAAGACCGACCAGTTGTGCGGTCTCTGGCGGTATAGGGATGAGGAACTGGAGGGCTCGGCGTCTATCATGAAGTCGACTACAATTAACACCAGCAAAGAGATGACCCCATTCTCCACATTCCCGGCGCCCAAACATTTCCCCAATTATATGCATAATACAAAAATGGTAACCGTTTTGTGGTTTAATTTTAGATGTTTTTTATTACTATAATTAAATATGTTTATTATTAGTATTTTATTATTTTTTTATAACTTTTATTTACCTTGTTAATAATAATAAATTATATATTTATAATTTATTATTTTAGGATTTTATTTATTTAATGTTTTAGTGTTTTATAGTTTATTAAAATAGTTTTAAAAACTTTATTTGTATGAAAAAAAGTTTTATTATCTAGATTTAATAATAACTACATGTTAAAGAGAATTAATTATTTACAATATTTACTTTTAAGCTTTCATTAAATTGTTATAAAATTTTTAAAAACTTTATCAAAGGCTGAATACCTGTCACTATATGCGGATAAAATCGGTATTAGAGATCACGTAAAACTCAGACACGAGATAATTGATTGCCAACAAAACACGGATTACGAGGAGACGGGCCGATGGAGGCTAACGGTGCGCGACATCGACAACGACCGGGTGTTTGATCAAGTGTTTGATGGGGTAATGGTGTGCACCGGACATAACAACAAGCCATCGATGCCTACATTTAAAAACCAACACCTATTTAAGGGCCGTGTAATGCATGCGCACGCCTTCAAAGACAATACAGGGTTTGATGGCCAGCGGGTGGTTGTGGTCGGCATCGGGAACTCCGGGGGTGATGTCGCGGTTGAGTTGTCTCATGTGTGTCCAAAGGTATGTGTTATTTATTTTATTTTATTATTTGTTTAAATTTAAGTAAATATAACCTTTACCTTTCTAATTGTATTCATAAGATTAATAAGGTATATCTATTGTAAATTATCTAGCTCCTAGTTTAGTTTATAATTTATTTGTGTTTCATGGTAGTTAAAAAGGTTTTTTGTTTTGTGCTAGTGTGTTTTTTTTAGATTTAAAAAAAAAATTTTTTAACCCCGATTATGGACAAATTATGACTGTCCGGTACAAATAATAAATTATTTACTAGAACTAGGGTACGTGATAATTTTAGTAATATATTAAATTATATGAATAGACGTTATTCATGATTGATCAAACATTTTATTGCGTAATGATGAATTATAATTGATACGACCATAACAGATTAAGTACAATTCGCAATAAAATGATCATAATTGACGTATACGTCAAGCACTTAAATAATTGCTTATAAAGAAATCATGACTAAAAACTTATTAAAAATAAATATAAAAATAAAACACTAATAATTTATATTTATTATAATTACATAGCCCATTATAATTATTATAAGTTACAATTACATTCAAATCAAGCATTTATGTTGCTTCAAAATATAAATATAAAAATCACTTATAAATTAATCACGTAAGTAATTTTACATAAAATAAAGGGAAATAAACGTTCTAGATAATTATTAATTATAACTAATATACCTACACATAAATTATAGGTATACCTGTCCACGCGTACGGGCAGTTGGGTGTGTTACCGGGTGGGCCACGGGGGCCGACCATTTGATTCAATGCTGTTGCGCCGATGGGTGAACACCATGTTCAATTTTTGGCCCTTTGGTCTGGTCTCGTCAGTGTCCGAGGGGTACCTAAACATGCGGTTTAATCACAAACTATACGGCCTGAAGCCCAAGCACCGGGTGTACTCGCAGCACATATTTGTCAATGATGATTTGCCCAAAAGGATCATGAGCGGTTGCGTGGTGGTCAAAGGCGACATTGAACAATTCACCGAGAACGGGGTCATTTTTCATGGTATGTATTTATGGGGAAGAATAGACTATAACTTCATAATCATAGTAATAGTTAAATAAGGAATGGTCAATGTTAGAATGATGTTAGTTGACGTTAATAATTAAACAATCACTACTATAGTATTAGTTATACTATCGCACACAAAATTTGTTACTATTTTAAATGTTTTTAAAAAGTTTCATTATAATTGTCTAAAACATTACTATAAAACTATCTTATAAATTAATTTACTATACATACAAAGATGCATAAATTAAAACAGCAAATATAATTCATTCACAGGTGATTCGTGCGAAACCCGATGCGATGCTGTGGTGATGGCCACCGGATACGAGATATCGTACCCCTTCCTAACCCGCGCCGGCTTTACTGTCGACAAAAAGGACTTTAATCTCTATAAAAACATATTCTCACCTGAGCTCAAACACCCGCACACTATGGCCTTCATAGGGCTAGTGTTGCCGATCGGGGCTGTCCTGCCCTGCGCTGAGCTCCAGTCCCGGTATTTCGCCCTGCTCATGGCCAACAAAGTGAAAATGCCAACGCATCAGCAAATGATCAAGGACAATAAACGGCGCCGCGTGTGGTTGAAACAGCACTTTCCCAATTGGCAAAAGTATTCGCTGGAAGTGTATTACATTAAATACTTGGACGAGTTGGCCACTCTCATGGGCGTTAAGCCCAAACTGTTCAAGTACTTTTTCACAGATCCTAAATTATGGTCGCATCTCTACTTTGGACCATGCGTGCCCTATCAGTATCGACTTAATGGTATGTAATTTTAATTTGTATCTAACTGTTCTAGATAATTAATGTTGAATTTTAATTTTACCTAAATGTGTCAATACTAGGTCCAAATGCGTGGCCCGAAGCCCGACAAACCATATTGACTGTGAAAGAAAGGATTGACGCCCCGTTTAATTCAAGGAATTAAATGGTCTACCTTGATGAATTTTGGTCATTCGTGATTTATTTAATATTAAATATATTATAATTTATTAATTATTTTTAGTCTTAAAATATTTGATGTTATTGAAGAAATTTGGGGACAATTTTATTGTTGGTAAAGATCTTAATTTATGTTTACCAACTTGTATTTTTCAATTATTATTAATAAAATTATTATAAGTATTACTAAATATTTCTTAAAATTTCTTTTTAGTGATAAATGCGAGAGAGAGAGAGAGAGAGAGAGAGAGAGAGAGATTAGATAATAAATAATTTTTATTAAATCAGCCTGTTTATAACCAAAATGTATTTTACCGTTAAATATAATTATTTAATAGGAATCAAAATCTA